CTCCTCTAAACATCATCAACATCATATCCTCAGACATGTAATACTCTCCTAAAAAACTAACCCAAGAACCCCTGAAAGCTTGCAGGTATTTGGGATCTATTTTCAAACCTTCAAATTCATCCTAGTAAAGGACATCAATTGAGGTGCCAGGGTCTACCAGTACATTTATGATGTTCCAACTCTATATTTGTATGCTTATCCCCATGTTGTTTGTTCTTGCGGGGTAAGACCATTTTTATGCCTTTGCCAAAAGAACTAATTTTTGGTGATGAGATAGTTCTTTTAGTGGGTGGGATATCACTAATATGCATTACCTGATGTGTATATCTCTTTCTTGATAAGTTATTCACCCCACCCCTTGTGAAACCTTCCAAAAGCATATTCAAAGTGTGAGTCGTAATGGAAGGCTCATGCCTTTCTCCCAGACTTTGACTTCTCTTATGTGAAGATTTCTTCTAGCAATCTTTTCTCCTGGATGGAGCCTTTGTTCCATGGTTCGGGGAGTCATCCCACATGTATCTTTGCAGAAAATTCTCTTGGATTAACTTCTCAATTTCCCACTTTGCGTGGGGCAATCGTCTGTGTGATGGCTACGTACCATATGATACTTGCACTGTTATGTTCCCCATAGGGACGAGAGGCTCGTGAATGACCTTGATATAGTATACATCTTGGAGTTTTTATTCTCTCCTGATACTTCAGTAGAGTGAAATGCTATAAGGGTTTTCTGGCGGTCTTGAATGCAACATTTCCTTGAATTGGTATTGGATTTTGATTCATCCGTTGGCCCTATACAACAGACTTTCTGCCACCTTCCTCTCTTACATCCCGAGGTCTTTTCCAGCGTTGCTTTCATTCCCAATAATATAACATCCAGCTCTTGCCACAATCTCCTCCATCGAAGTGGATTACTTTTGGACCAAGGATTCATTGAAGTGTTAGACCTTGAGACCATTATGGAAATCTCCAACTAACATATGGTGATTTGGGTTGGCAACCTTGATGGTTTGTTCTTTCAATATGGCCAAATATTTACGGAAGTATTTAGACTGACGTTGTCAAACATTGAACATGCTCGTTGTGGAAACCTTAAGGTATTAGTTGGCCGAAAAGTCATGAACCATCTTTCTTGTCGGATCTTAGCAACTCATCACCGAGAAATATGGTAAGCTCGTGTACCATATAAGGCAGTCTCCTTGAATGTTCTATTTATTATCTTACACTTGAGTGAGTAATCAACTCCAATGATAGCCGTCTGGATGTTGATGACGATTATGTGCTTCTGGGGACTGCTTTTGCCATCAAACGACATAACAATGGTGGTTGAAATTTTTTAGAACCTGAGCATCCCAAATTTCTTCTACAAGTGACTAAGGAATTATAGGTTCCTCGTCCTTGATCTCCTTCATCTTCGCATGTTGATATTATTTCAAATCATGGACGCTCTCCTACAAGGCTTTGTTTTGATGATGTAACTCTTTTATAACAGTTAACATCTCTGTTATGGCAACTCAGTCACCATTGTTGTTATTGCTATTGGTGGTGACCCTTGTCATCAGGGGTTGGAATGTCGTTGGAAGTGATATGTGTGACCCATTTCGATTTTATTTAGCCCTACGATGGGCGTCAAATGTATAAAAAGGTACACAAATGATAAATATACTAGTGAGGACTTGTAAAGCCACAATCAAATAAACTAGTCAATTGTCAAATAAATGTTTCTTATATGCTTTTCTCTTTATATAGTAGTTTGGATCCGCCTCAAGCAAAAGCCCACCATATATTATTTTATGTGAATGATCTTGATTGATATGACCTCTTAATAGTGATTGAAAATCATAATTGATTGTTTTCAATCCCTAATTATGATATCCTCTCATTAGCCACAAATGTGCTCTAATCATAATTCAATCAGATAATGTCTTATACCAGATTTTGGTCGGCATATCAATCTAACCCATTAACTATTTCAGTATGATCACGGTCTTCTGGGTGGATCATTTAATTGAGGCAAACTTCATTGGGTCTGGGTTCGCTCTTGCCCGCTTCAGAGTCCAAACTCAAAAAATCAAACATATATACAACCTCTCAAACATAAATTGGTAAGGATGAAATACTTTACTAACCCTAATATGCATCATCAATCCTCTTCTATTACTTCATTTTTTAAAAATATTTCTTTCCTTTTTCTTGATAATTTAAGTGAAGGTGTAATGTCTAAATTCTTAATTATCATAAATATTGTTATTCTGGATGTTCAGCCGAGCCGATTCCCTAACAATATTATCAAAAATAGATAGTAAAAAAAAATCGAAAATACCTCTACTTATTTTTATAAAGTTTTACAAAGTTTTGTAACCAATATTTGATATAGAAATTTAGAAATGTTTCTTCCTTTCTTAGTAAACAAGTTTAACCGTTTTCCTTTGTTGAAGTAAAGACAAAACCTAAAGTGACAAGTAGTATCCTTCCCTTTGGCTCTATTAAAGCATAGCACTTTATGATAGTTAGAAGCAACTATTTTTTTTTTTTTATAAGCAAAATATTGAATAGAAGCAACTAGTTAGTTAATGGTTCTTTTTATGTTATTTTGATGCGTGAAACCAAATACTTACGAACTTATATTTGATTATATGCTCAATAAACACAAGTGATGCAAACATTGTTGAAAATTGTAAGTAAATCCAAGATCCAAATATCGTGTAATACGTAATTTATAGTTTTTATGTATACATAGCAATGTTACATAATGTGGCTCTATGTACCTTGCGTTAAAGTTACAAATAAACACAAATGTAAGAATAGGTCAAAAAAAACTCATGATTTCTTCATTCTTATTTTTACTTCATACTCTTCAATATCTTAATCAAGTAAAAAGATTACACATTTACAACCATACAATTGAGATTGTTAGATTATTACAAGGAGACAAATTTACAACCATGCAATTCAGATAGTTAGGTCATAGACTCGTGTTTAGGGCAAGAATATTTTAACTTTAAAAAATTTATTTCTTTATATTTTTAAAATTAAATTCTACAAAAATATTTTTCAATATATTGAAAATTTTTCTAAATTTATTTTTTATAAACTAAAAGACAAACTTTGATATATTATAACATAAATATATATTATTGAAGATCAAAATATAGTCAAAATTACAATTATTTCAAAAAGTTATATTTAAACAAATATTTTTATGAAAAGTTATTTGAAATATTTTTAAAATTAAGTAATTTTTTGAAAATTTGACATTTAGGTTTTTTTGATAAAATAAATAAAATAACATTTTAAGAATAACTATCCGAATTAAATTTTCATTTGAAACTTTTATAAAAAATTTTGTTGTTAAATTGTTTTATACTGAAATATGTTATACTATAAATATCATTTAAAAAAAGTCAAAACAAATAGCCTTTAATCTCTATAGATTGAAAACGAAATATTCAATTTGATTAAAATCCAATTGATTGATAACATATTTTTCTATTGCATGAAGCTAAATCCACACACTCTTGACTTTGTGTGTTATAAATAAATAAAAATTTAGTTCAAAATATCTTGCATCCAAGATGGTTCATATTTTGACTTACCATACTATATTTCATAGACAAATTTAGAATACAAAGCACCCCATTTCTAATTCACAATCGAATAATCCAAATTACTTTATAGTATATTTTTGAGTGCACGAATTCAAGATATTTTGAGTTGGTTCAGATTTCAACTTAACCAAATTATATTTGTTAGATGAGAGAATTTTCATAAGATGATGAATGTGTTCATGCATGTGAGAGTGATGAACATGCATGAGAGAGAGCAAACTTTGTTTGTTATTGGATAATTTCTCATTAATGTATTAAGTCTTTGACTTTGGTACTTATAGGCAATCACACAAAGTAGAAGTTAGTTATAACTTCTCTAACTAACTTCCTAACCATACTAACCACCCCACTTCATTCTATTAGATCAATTGAATTTACAATTTAATATTACAATTTCATAGGTTAATCAACAAAATTATAACTTCAAAAACCTATATTTTACTAACTAAGCGCTTTGAACAAGTTGGAAGACCTAGAACATGCATACTAATTAAAACAAAAACAAAAAAGAGAATGAGAGAGAGAAAATTCTCATCAAGATGATAAGTATGAGATATCTAGCTTTGCTTGTTATTGAATAATTTCTCATTAATGCATTAACTCTTTGGCTTTGTTATTCTTACACAATCATGCAAGGTAGAAGTTAGTTATAACTTCCAAACCATAATAACCACCTCACTTCATTCTATATTCTAATAATATTTCACATTCAAATTTTAAAATACGAATTTTCAAATTTTCATTTTTAAACGTTTGTAAAATAGCAAATGAGCATGCTTGTCTCATTTAGTTCCTCTCCACTAAAAAATAAAGCAAAATAGATTGAGGATTTTAATTAAATCCATCAAAAATAACATATTAAACCGATGATTTTGACCCATTTAAACTCATTCATAAATAAAAATGCAAGATTGGCGTGGTGAGACAAAATAGTGAAAAAGAGTTGAAAACTTTGGTTGAATCCGGCAAAATTGATTGTCTAAATTGAATTTGTGAATTTTGACATTCCTAAACATTTAAACATAGGTATATATTCAATTAGGTTTAATTGATATGTACTGCCAATGTAAAATAATTTTACACATGTCATTAATTTTTTTTTTAATATTACACTCTCAGTGTATTATTATTTTTTTCATTTTAATTTACCTAACTGAAATCTTTAAATAAAAGAGGTTGTAAATCTTTCTTCTCCTTCTATCATACACAAAAATAGGGATAGAGTATAAACATGAGATGAGAAAAATTATTTTCTTAAAATAAATACAATTTCTGTTACACATATAAGCACTCAAATGCAAGATTTCATGCTAAGTTTAGAGTCATGAATCAAAATTTAAAAAGATTACACACATTATAACACTTTATTACACACAAATCAAGAGAACTTTAGCTTCATGTATCGACATCACAAACTGGAGCACCAATCAAAGGAATCTGGCCCACAAGACCTTTCTTCAAACCCAACAACAAATCACACTTAGCATACATATTATAATGTGCTGATTTTATCTCACCACTTTTCCATCTCAACCTACCTTGAAACACAAGTTTCACACCCACCACACCATAACTCTCATCCGCAACCAAACCGTTCATCACATCCACCGATACCGGAATCGGGACGCTTCCTAACACGGGGGACACCGACACGGTCCCGTGCTTCTCCAAGTAAAGAGACTGGAGAATAACATGAGGCGTAATCGGTTGGTTTCTATACGAGACGTAGGCGGAAAGCCTGTCGAAGTAAATGGAGACGCGCTTGTTTGGATTCCTTATGAAGATTGTGAATTGCATTGAGATTGACATGAATGGCGGTGAAGTTGCATTGAGGCTGTAGATTGAAGCACTGGTGACTGTGATGTGAGGCTTTGAGGGATGGTAAGCTAGCCATAGGATGAGGATTATGATGCCGAGTAAAAGGAACAAGATTGTGATGCATATGCAGTGCTCACGTTTCGGAGCATTTGGTATTCTGTAACGAGAATCCATGTTACCTTTGTGTTCCATTGGATAGTTATATCCTTGTTGATGCTGTTGCTGTTGTTGTTGTGTCATTTTGTTAGGAAAATTACGTCGCGGATAGTGTTGTTGAGTAGGATCTTGTTGACGTTGTGAATGGTGTTCTTGAAATGGATCTTGTTGACGTTGAGTTGGATCTTCTTGGCGATGTATTTGCATTATTTCTGCCATTGTTTGTGTGTGTGAATATGAGTTTATTTGGTTGGGAGTTTTATGAGCAAGTGAAAAAGTGAAAAGAAATGTATATGAATAGCTAGGGAGAATTTGAATTAGGTTGCTTGGAATCCAAGTAAAGTACTTTTTGATTTTGATTTGGATCAATGGTTGATTTTTGATATGATGAGTTTGTGTATAGTATGCTATGTGTGTTGATTCACCCAAAAAAAATGCTGTGTTACTTTATGTTTTGTGCCTTGCTTTTTCTTTATCCAAGCTTCTTTTCTTTTCACTAACTTAAGTGGAGGAAAAAAATGTAGATTACTAATGAAGATAATGGCTAACAGCAATAATTGTATTATTCAACTGAAACATGTCGAAAATCACAAAATGATTTTTTTATAGTTTACATATTTTTGTATAAATTTTTTATTTATTTTAAATTTAATTTAGTATTAAAATGTTATTTTAGGTATTTTATCATTTTATTGAAAAAAATATTGATTCTAAAAGTTAAAAAGTATAAGAAAGGCAAGAAAATAAAAAATTATTGATTCTAAAATTTAAAATATTTTATAAATTTTTAGCATTTTAACAATGAGCATTGCTAAATATTATGAGGGTACAATATAAGAAAGGCAAGAAATACACATCTTTTAAAACTAAACCCAAAACCAAAACTACTAACTCCCTATTTAATAAAAAATCATGTGGAGGTTATTGTGTAAATTAATGGTTAAGATTCTTTCTTGTGTTTCTTTAGTTTATCTTCATGCAAACTAACATTTTCCTTTTAACAATTTTGCATGTTTTTTAATCAAAAATTTTAGAGAAAAACCATCTTAAATTTCTTTTTAAAAAATTACTTTCCTTTGATAATTTCTTTATCCAAAAAAAAATTCATTTAAACTAATATTTAATACACCTTTTTTAAAGATTATTCACATCAGCTCTCAAATTTGTTCTAATACTTCAAGTAATAGATTCGGTATAACAAACTATTAGCTGAAATTTTCAACCAATGATAAAAATCCGAGAACAAGAAAAAAGTCTTTGAAGAGTAGTGGTTCGACCACACTCTAGGGACTTAGAGAAATTTTCTGTTATTGAAGTGAGTAGTTCCACACCAATTACTCCAACCAAGCAGACAACGTTGTCGTAAGGTTGGTCGGAAAAACGGTTGTTTGGGCGCGATTTTGTCACGTTTAAATCTTGGTAATTGCTTTAGTTCTTATATCATAAGGACACGTGGAGAAAGTTGGAAAGCAAACTACTTGCAGAACTACACGTAGCGAACCCAAAGAAAAGGAACGTTAAGGTAGTTATTTTAGACTTTTATATATAGTAGTTCATTTTAGTGGATTAAGTGTGTTCATTTATATTATGAAAAATCTCACAAAGAAAATCAAAATATCACAGTTAAGAAAAAAAGCGAATGGCTGAGAAAGTATAAGCGCAAATAAAACATCACGTTATTAATTTACATTATTTTCCTCATTTTTATCTTTTGCCTAACCTTTACTTTTCATTTGAGTGCTTTCAGCATTATTATTTTTACCCTACGTTTTCTACCAGAAGTTTAGATATTCACTATCACGTTATCTCACACATCCCCTCCGACATAGTCGAAGCCAATAATTTTAAGGCACGAAAAAATTAACAATAAATAAGTCCTTAAGCACTATGTCCTAAGAATTTACTGGTTGATTATGCTAATAAACCATATATTTAGAGATCAACAATTATTTACTATTTTTCAGAGTAAACACAAACATGGCCCAATTTCTAAAAGAGTTCTCATTATTGCGCCTCAGCAAGCCTTGGAGATAGCGGTTGTAGGTCGATCACGGACACAAGAAAGAAACCTAATCATCAATCATGATCACACTATTAAAGCGTCGAGGGTACATTTGAGCTCTACACTAAATCCATACTAGAGATGAATGTTCACAGTTGGATGTAATCAGACGGTCTCCCACATTCTACGTCGAGAAGGTAGAAAACTTCTGAACCGCCATTCATGTATAAAATATATAATAGGAGACTTTCTCTAACCTCTTACTCGTTATATTCGTTATTTTTTTACTAAATTAAATATTGAAGTGCTAACCTTTAAAAATCACCTCTATACCATTGTACCGGAGATTCATTGCGCTGCATCAAGACAATATTCCACCCTTTCACCAAACATTTCTGGTTATACAATGGAAAAGATTGTATAATTATGTTACTAGTTGGGTTCGGAATTATTGAGTCAACTGTTTTCGAAGGACCTCACAAGCTGATAAAAATGTCAAATATCATATTACCTTTTATTCCTAAATATTTACATTTAACTCAACCCATTTTCACTCTAAAATAAAATGTTGGGTCCCAAGTACCACTTGACAACTATTCTGAAAACAGATCGACAAAAAAATTGTCTAAATTTTAACTTTTCACAACCAAAAATTGCCAAAAACGTAGGGGAAAAAAGGCAGAATGAACCCAAAAAGAGACGATACAATGTGAAATGGACCCAAGAAAACAACAGAGCAAGACTGTGTGGCTGGATTTGAGCTTTCACAGTTTCACTGATGTGTGTATAGCATGTCCCACTGTCAATTCTACATACTGTTACTAGCATGGACATTTCATTGTTGTGTCCCAAAGTCACAACATTTTTGTCCCGCAATTCAATTATTAGTTACTCATGCTTTAACTCTGAAAAGTTCCTGCACTGATTATTTGAGAGATCACTTTCAACATTAAGCGATTAAAAAAGCTTGGCAAATACTGTCATCAAGCTCGGTGAATTTGATGAATATAATAATGGATTGAACATGACTCTTACACACAAACAACTTTCTAGAGCAACTGCTCCTACAGAGAAAGATGGTATCTCTTACGATATACAATAATGGATAAATATCAATGAAGATGCAACACCCTCCCCAGTCATATTATTAAGTGATCCCAAGTGTGTTTCTCCCAAAAGTACTCATGCCACGCCATATTCCCTTGGACTATTTCTACTTTCTAGAATAAACAAGTCATGGTTTAGAATGTGGGCCAAAATCCAGCATTTGATCATTAATAAGGCCCAATTCTTCATTGGACTGCACCAGGGCTCTATCAAATTTTAACAAAAGATAATGCATTTGTGTGTCAGGTGAGTTTAAACTATAGGTACTTGTAACAATCATATATAATACATTATACATAGTTGCAAAGCTGATACTCAAATACATAAATTCTTAGTAGCAACATTATAGGTCTAAAATAATACTATCACAATAGCACAATATATATAAAGGTGTCCAAAATATAAAAACTAAGAACTAGATCATTGCAAGATGATCTCCAAAATAACTGCATAGCGGATACGCCATTCGAAATATCAGAAGAAGTAAGGACATCATACTACATTGTCCTTACCCTTCGCCAGAACAGAAGCACCTAAAAATAATCAATAAATATGGGTGAGATAATAATCTCAGTGAATTCCCTATCTTATGGGTTCACTCGGATCTACAAGGTTCTAATCAAACCTAAGTTGAGTCCTAAAGGGAAAAAGGGACTCAAGCTCACAAAACTCACATTGTATGGAGACATGCCTCATGAGTTCATTAACTCAAACAATCACTAATCGAAAATCATACCAAGACATCTTTTTCCAGTCAATCTACATCTAAGATTCTTGACACGGATCACGGATCATTGTATCATATACTTCGACTTTCTTGAGCATTTCAAGTTCTTTTATGAGACTCTAACCTATTTGGTTGCACTATAGGACTCTAAGCCATTTAGTTGAACATATGGGACTCTAACCCATTTGGTTGATGCAAAGTATTGGTGCATTCATCCCAATCTTAATCTATATGAGTACCATGACTTGGGACGACACAATCAAGATTTTTTTCAACTACGTGATTCAATAAGGGACATCGTGATTGTATTCAACAACCACAAGGCGATCACACCACCTTAGTATTCACAACAACATCACATGCTTCATACAATGCCAAACGTCTTAGCTAGACAATCACTTGCTCATGCCACACACCTAGGTATCATATGCACAAGCATTGTCATCTATATCATTCAATACATCCTAATTATCTTGTTAATTCATTCCATTAATTACTCTTAAGTTTTCCTCACCAAATTTGTAAATTTCCAATCATGTCATCATTTAATCACAAGCAACAATTCATAGATGGGACACATGCATAATACCCACAATCCACAATAATTAACATAAGGTAATTCATATCAAAGTCAAACATGCGTGTGAAACACTCCAAACAAGAGACAAAACAATATTTCAAAAACCCGTCACGGTCACCCGGCGCGCAGCCAGCGAGGCCCAAACAGAAGCAAAATTGCATCATTGTCGCCCGTCGAGCACTCAGCGAGTTAGCTCGCTTTTTGTTCGTCAAATCTCGCCCGACGGCACAGACAGAAATCAGCTCGTCTGACGAGGGTGTCGATTTCTACATAAATACAGCAGAGGTTTGATTCAAAGGAAGGAGATTTTCACTACAACCCCACACTTGATTCTTCCACAACATGAACACAACATTCAATAACAATAATCATGGAATTCTCATAAGTAATGGAAGAAATATCAACAAACCAATATCATCAATTTCTATCTACAACCCTTAACTTCTACAACTTAATGTCTCTACCTAGAACCCACCTTACAATTGAGAGGTAGAAGTTGTTGAATGGTGAAGATACATTGATGTTGATGATAGATGATGAAAAGCTCAAATTTCCTCTTCTTCTACTAGATTTTCTTCTTCTTTTTATTTTCCTCTTCCAAAATCCTTTCCTACTATCTTGGAGGAAATGAAATGATGTGTAGAAGTATCATGTGTAAAGGAAAAGTTGGTATGACAGGAGTGGTAAAGAAGTGGGTATAAAACTTATGGTAGGAAAATGATAGAATTAGTAATAACATAAATATTAAGTGGTACAATGTTTAATATTTGTTGTACTAAAGCAACTAACACATTATTAATGTTATCAAAATGTCGCTATTGTATCAATTAATAAAAGATCAGTCTTGAATAATGTTAATTAAGTCAATTTAAGTTCACTAGTTACTATAATTATTCAAACCGATAACTTTCAGAGTATATAAAAATTTAATTGATCTCAACTGATATTATTTAGAGTAGTTTAAAAAAATACAGAGCATTAGAGTACTTAATGTGTGAGACTTGAGAATGGTTAAGATCGTGAAATTATACTACAACATTATACTAATATTATCTCCTTCTTCATTGTAGTAACTTCTCCTTCTTCTCAAACTCCCATCTTGCATGATTTAAGCATAGGAAGCATAGGAATTTGATTTAAATTCCAAAGCTCTCACTTTCTTTCATTGGGTAATATCATTTCCAGTTCTTTGTTTGTGATTTGTAATTTATGAGTAGTTAATCATTACAATTCTTGCATTTGGTACATTGTTGTTATGCAAAATTGGATATTCACACTTGATATTGTTAGATTTGAGTTTGTAGAAGATTGAATTTGACTCTCTTTTCAAGTTTGATTGTGAAGTTTCTGTTACATGGGACTTTGACATTGTTACATATTTGAATTTTAAAGCCCTAATGAATTGAAGTCCATTGTTATCTTCTGTCATGAATATTGTGTTGTAGTTCCTTGATTTGAAGATTGCTAGCAATTGATATCAAATAATTACCTGTGTACAATATTCTTTGTGTTGCTTTATTGATATTTGGAGTATACTCTTGGTTTTGGAATTGTTGAGTATTGTTGAAATTATGCATCTATTACATAGTTCTTGTGGATAGTACTTGACTGACATTGTATTGTATTTTCTTTAAAGAATTTTTGAAGAATTACATGCCTTTTTAATAAATAGTAGAAACGTGTGATTTTGATATTTCTGAGCCTTCAAATGTTTCCATTAGCAGGATGTTTATTTGTGTTAAGTTTTGATGTTTATTTGTGTTAAGTTTTGAGGTTTATATTGTTAAGTTTTGAGGTTTATATCGCTAGCTGTTCGGTTTCATTCAAGCTTTGCAATTTCGCAAATTCAGTTCAGCAGGTCCAGAGTTTGTTCCTAGTTCGACTTTGCAAGGTTGTTGCTTCATCAAAAGTTTATCACAACTACAAGATGTAATTTCGTTTCAATTTTGATTTCATATGTGACTTTGTTTACAAACTGTGTTTCTGGGTTCAAGCTCATTTTGAATGTTTTTAAATGTTTGTGTTGACTTTTGCAAATTTGCATTTTAGGTTGTTTCTGGGTTCAAGCTCATTTTGAATGTTTGTGTTGACTTTTGCAAATTTACATTTTAGGTTGTGTTCATTTTATGTTAGATACATTTTCGGTTCAACAAGTTGATACAGTATAAAAAGTTAGGTTGATTTTATTCTTCTGTTCATCTAAGTTACTGCAATGGACACGAGTTTAAAAAAGAGAAGTTACTGCAATGAAGGAGATAATGTTATAGTATAAAATGTCTTTTAGAAGTCCCACATTAATTTTTGTATAAGACATAAAAGTGTTTATAAAGTTGAAACAAACACAACAATTCAATGGGTCAATAACTAAAGGCCCAAAGAGTTTTATTTAAAATTTTGATTAATTAATTAATTATAAAAATTAATAATAAAATATTAATTATTAATTAATTAATTAATTAAAATAATATTAATAAGTTAATTATCCTAGTCAATAAAAAAAAGTTTTAAATTAATTTTTTAAAAATGACCGCCATTAGACACGTCATCTTAGATAGTGTCCCATCATTTAAAAAATTTAAAATTGGAAAGGGGACTAAAATTAAACTCAAAACTTAAATAAGGAAACAAAATCGTGATTTTTAAAATAGAGGGACCAAAACCCAAAAAAATACAAAATAGGAGGAACATAATTGCAATTTAGTAAAAAAAAACAGAAGAAACCCCTAGTAATGCTTAACATATCCCTTTAGCTATCTCGCTACCGCTTTTAGGAGTTCCTAATGCTTCAAGAAAAAACAGATTATTCCACTGTACACACTCCACCCCTCATCTAATCCTAGTGAGCAAAAATCAGTGATAAAGTCTATGGTGATTTAATACCAAGGTAAGTTAAAAAGAGCAAGTTTCATTGATCACCATTAGCATCTGCATTTGGATGATCATCATCGTGTACTCTACGTACGAACTGCCCTTTCACTCGAAGGCGCTGCTCTGCGATTCTTTTCCGACTCTGATAGCGAACCTGTGCAACAAATCACTGCGTTAAGATCTGTGGTTTAACATGCTATAAGTTTCCTAAGTAAATAAATCATAAATACATATACAATTAATTTCTAAAGAATCTATACTAGTCATAGTACCTTTTTCGTGTAGCATCTCTCTTTTCGCTTTAAACGAAACTTTGTTAGAGCTGCTTCTCTATGACTGGAGCGATGAGAATCACTCAATCTAAATTCATCATAATAATCTTTTTTGTAGTGCCTACTATCACTAGAACTTCTTGAGTTCTTTGTAACAGCATTTGAAGTAGCTCTTTCATCATTGCAGCTATTAATATGATTTGAAGCACGGAAAATGTCATTGCCGAATCCCGTACCACCACTAGGAGAATCATGCACTACATGATCCAAATCATGTTTTTCAGCAACATTTTGATTAGGAAAACTGTAGTTAGCATCATAAGAGCAATTATGATGATGGTCTGAATTGTGACTTTCAGAATTGGACTGGGAAGAGGAACTTGAGGGAAAGGGAGAGCTCTCTTTTTGGTAATTTGATTTAGGAATCCACATGTGATGGAGAACATTATCAGCCAACAGTCCAGTGTTAAATAATTTCGCTCCAAATTGTCCGTAATGAGCGGTGACTGCATTAGTCATATCTTCCATTTTAATTGGGCCACCATATTGAATGCAATTATCAGAAGTAGCTACTGATAATTCATGAGATTTATTAGAGCTCCAATTGGAATTTTGAAAAAGTGGCCACAACATCTTACTGCCATCAAACCTGCATGTAGAAATTTTGTCGATCATTATTAGAAAAATACTATGGCCGTGAAGAATAAAGTGATATGAAAAATACTTTTAAATGAAAGATTGTATACTGATTTCTTGTCACACAACAATAAAGGCTTAAGATCAACATTTGTTTTCTAGTAGCGCGAGAAGGGAATGCTACAACAAAAATTCAAACATATAGTCTTTGTTAGTTACTAAAGTCATTTCAATGTATTCCTTTTATTGCAGATGAACAAGGGCAAAATGCTGATATCTCTTTAATCTTTAAAGACATGAATATATTTTATCATAATTAGGTTGCTCTCATAAACTATACTGAGGCTCTCACAATTATCTTTTAGACCAAACCAATTGGTAACCAGCTTTTACCTAGATATAGTAAACTAGGACTGAAAGAAATTACAATGCAAAAGTGAAAACAAAAGAAAAAAATTCACGATGAGCTTCTATTTTTGACTCATTCGTTTTCTTGATACTCGGATCAAATGGCATATACTGCACCTAGATTTTGTGTTTTCATATCAATCAAAAAAGTGAAAAGAAAACGGCGGTCTTACTGGGAAAAGGCGGAAGTATTTGAGTGGTTCAATCTTTGCCATTCCTCAGTTGATTCACTTGCTTGTTTGCATGAGCTGCCTGAAAAATCACTACTTAAAGACAGCTCCAATCCATTTCCGAAATCAAACTTGGTTTCTTTATCACCATTAATGCAATGGATTTCCTTAGTGCACTTGCGGAGATTCCCAACTGTGGAAATCAAGTCGATAGCTTTGCTAGAAGGTTCTATCAGTTCATCACTGCATCCACGTATCTCAGTATCAGTATCGTGGTTCTCTCTTCTTAACTCAGCTCTAAATATTTCATTTTTGGATTCAACTTCAGAAGTTCTGTAGTCTTGTTCTAGCCTTGAGTCTGTCAATTTAAAAGTTTTGTTACACCATGCAATGCAATTGATTTCTCTGAAGAAAATAATTTTAGGCAATGAAACAATTGTAATTGTAAAAAAGTTATTAATTAATTTTTAAAATAATTTTAACAAAGAAGAAAATGAGAGGAATTTAAATACCTCTTGCTTCATCATTAAGCTTAGTTGATTCCCTTTCAAGTTGGTTAGACTCCTCATGTTTCAACACATCAATTTTTCTCAATTTGAAACAACTCTTCTTCTGAGAGGCATTTTGCATATTATTCTTGTATGCATTCTCCGCATCAGAAAATGGCAGTGCACGCGTGCTCTGCACATGAATTGGAAAAACTTGTAGTTTCTGCTAAGTAAAATTTAACAAAGGCAACCTTATGTAGAAATAAAATTTTCCTTAAGCTAAGTGACGTTGCAGATGCATTGTAAACATGTCTTCAAATAATACTGAAGCCAAGCATAGAGAGATAAGTGTGGATATAATTCCAAAAAATGTTACATTGAACTTTGATCACTTCACACCCAACACATCAAGGACTAACAAAAATGACGTAATTAAGTTGCATTTTGAGATAATTTAGTAGGTGGAACTTACTTGAGCCTCGCTCAATTTCTCACTGCATTCATTATTTTTCTGTGAGGAAGCCACAGAAACAGAATCAGTCAATTGATTGCTAGTAAAATTGTCTTCTATGGCAATTTTAAGTTTTTCTTGTGCAGATGTATTTTGGAGAGGCCTGTTAAGCTGTAAAAATAACATACGACAACAGAGGTTTAAACAACCACAGGTGCATATATGCTAAATTTCTAGGCCACGGTGAAAGAAGAATATACATAAAAGTAAAAAGATTCAGAAGTAAGACATACAACATGCTTTCTCCATACATGCTGCCATAAGTTCGCAAGCTCATTTTTCCGAACAGGTTTGATTAGAAAATCAGCTGCACCTTTAGACATGCAATTCATTACCATGCCACGTGAATCGTGAGAAGTCATCACTGCATGCTCGTGAGAAAAACTGTTAGAATATTAGAGTAGCTTAGATTTTCTCATATAAATATGAAAATTTGATTCCCGATTAGTTTCTTCGTTAAAGTAGGAAAAGTAGTTATAATTTCTTTAAAAACCTATTAAAAATTTTCTTGGGAATGGATTTTCTCACCTTCTAATATGGGAATAAATTCATGGGAGTAATGGAAGTTATCTCATTTCTAGAACCTTTATACCCAGAAATATTTTTTTCTTAACCTTTAATAAATATGGGTATAGTCATTCCCTACCACTGTATTCCCGAAAATGTGATTTTTAGCCTTGAAACAAACACTCCCTATGAGTTGTTTCATTTCTTATTTGCTTCTGTCTTTAGAAGTTTAGCCTCGTGATTTTAGCTATGTTTAAGTTTTGTTAGCTTATGCCTTATGTGGTGGTTAAGCATAGTTGTTTCTACATAATGGTTAAACTTTTGTCTATTTTGACAATTGTTTGTTACTATAATGTCTTTGATTCTTTTGGAGAGTGTAATGATAGCTAGAAGAAGATTGAAACTTGAAGATTTAGGTCGTTGCCTTGATTGTTACATTTACCCTTTTAAAGGGTACATTTGTAACAAGCTTAAAATTTCATAACCTTTGGAATTTTAGAATATTTTAAAATATCTTACAATTTTTTATTTATTTATATTAGAGTATCTTAGGATATGTTTGAGATGAGAATTTTGGAGGGGAAGGTTTAGGAGAGTTATGTATATATTTTAATATATATTTGATATTTAATTTTTTTTGAAAGAATACCATAATATATATGATTAAATAACAATTCAATCACACTCAAGACCGATCCAACCTCTCCAGAGATCTAAAGTCACTTTTAAGTGAGACCTTCAAAATATATTAAAATTTTAATTTATGTGGTTGTCAAGACTTGAACCAAAGACAAAAATGATATGATGTCTTTCTTTTACACACTTCATTATGAAAATATATGTAAATTATATGTCATCTTATATACTTATAATTAAATTAGACTTTTTGAGACCTTTTTAAGCCTTAAGTTTTGAGGCCTAAAACTCTTGCTTGGATCACCTTACCTTGAGCCGAGCCCAGCCGGCCCTTGATCACACTTCATTCATTTTTAGAAACATTTTATTTTCCTCCTTATCCCCTCCCAAACATTTTATAAGACAAGAGTATCTTAGACTTTCTTAGGATTACTTTTTATGTTACTCAAATATTATCATGATTTATCACTTGATTTCCTTAATAAGGATTAAGAATCTATTTTGCATATACATATGGCTTAGTATTTAGTCTTTTTTATCAAGTTGATCAAGCTCTTACTATCACTCTCATCTTTTTATATAAAATCCATTACTTCAACATAAACCATAAACAGCTACACATATCTTTCTAATACCAAGATTAAAAACAAAAACAGTAAAAAAAATGGCAACTCAACATACTTATAAGAGGAATGTTTTTGCAAGTTTCATGCTCCATCATCAAATCTAGAAGTGCTAATCCAGATAATTCAGGCAACTCCAATTCTGTTAAAACAAGATCAATTTCAACTTCCTTCGTTTGCAAAATCTTCCATGCCTTTACTCCATCAGAAACCGCAATAACTGCAAACAAAATATCACAATTAACATCTAATAAACAACCCATAAAATTAGATCAAAAACAATAACTAATCAGAGATAAACGAACCTTTGTAATTGCAATTCATGAGAAGTGATGAAATTAACCGACGAGTAGAACGATCGGATTCAACTAGAAGAACAGTAACAGTTATCTTTGGTAGAAACAATTCCCATCTAAAAATCTCTTTACAGTGATCATCATCATCATCATCATCGTTCTTCTTCTTCTTCTCTGATTCATTCATATTTCTGTTTAATTCAACTTCTTCCTCCATAACCGATTAAACTACATTTCACACAAAATGAAAATGAAAAATCATTAAAAAAAAATTAGAACCCTAATTTGAAATATTGGCTAAGAACAAAAGAGAGTAAACTAAAATTGAAATTCACCTAATTATTTATTCGATAAAAATATCATGAAAAAAAAAAGAAGCTGATTTTTAGTTGAAATGAAGAGTTGAAGAGGTAAAGGATTTTGAAAACCGCGAAAAACGCTGAAAATATCTTCCGTACAATTTTTTTTTTTGAAGGATTGAATCAAAAGATGGTTTGTTTCTAGTGGGTGAAGTGGCAAAATATGGGCCGTTGATTTTTTAAAAGTAAGATTTGAGATTTTCCGTTGGGGTCCACTGATAGGACACGTGTAGCTTTCTGTTTTATCTTGAGGCTGATATTTTTTTAGATGGGACGTCTTCGTCAATTGGAATCAAATTTTGATTTACCTTGGTTGCATCTCGTGGTGGGGAGAGTCACACGTGGAATGCTTGGGGATCTAACTCAATTAATTTATTTATTACTCAATGTTATTGAAAACAATTAATAAAATACCCATGCTTGTTCAAAGAGTGGCTAATAAAATCAAAATATTAACCATGAGAGAACTATGAGAGTTCTTTGCGGTCACTTAAAAGTTTTCATTTATTCTCTAGTTTACTTAATATTAAGAGAATCATGAGAGAGTATGGGGAGGGAGATTCGATAGTAGTGAAGGCAAGAGACAAGAGACGCGTTTAAGTTTAATAGATGTGATAATAAGCGTTCTAGTTGCTTTAAGAAAATGGGTGTTAATGTTTCGACGATCTTCTTTACGTCCTTTTCAAACGAGTTCACGGTGAGGAACATGTTCGAGGAGTTTAACATTTTTCGAGATGTTGATGAGGTTATTATTCCATCGAAGCGGGATATACGCGAGAACCATTACGGCTTTGTGAGATTCTTTAATGTGGGAGTGTTAAAGTTTGGCAACAAAACTTGACAATTTGTTCCTCGGTGAATAGAAACTCTTCACCAATGTTTCAAGATTCCAACGTCACTTTAAGGTGGGAGGAGTTCATCAACGGGTGCAGGCTAAAGGTGGTGAGACTAAGACAAACGATGGAACAAAGAGGGAGCATGTTAGTGAAGGCCATAGAGCGAGAAGGGTATTTGGTGGAAACTTAAGGGGTTACAGGTCTTTTGTGAATGTGCTGAAGGATAGGGATCCGTTTAATATTGTTGACAAAAACATATTTTCAGGAGGTGTGTTTGTGCAACGTATGTTACTTGCTCCAATGGCTAAATATACAAGTAAGGAAGCAGAAGACAGGTTGAGGTTTGAGCAAGCTTTCGTAGGGGTGATGGAAACTTCTGAGATTTCTTCTAAGTTGCAAGGGCTTCTTAATATGGAGGGGTATTTCGATTTAAAAACCACTCTTTTAGGCCTTTCCTTGTGTTTGTTGGAAGGAAGATCTCTGGAGATGATTGAAGATATTATAGCCAAGGATCGAGTATGGTTGAGTAATTGGTTCAAAGATATTCGTCCTTAGAAACCTTGTGATATGGATGTTGAGAGGTTGACGTGTCTAAAGTTATGGGCGGTTCATTATCATATTTGGGACGAACAAGTTTTTGTGTTTATTGATATGATGTTTGGTAAGTCCATTCATTCCGATGGTCAGACAACGAAAAAATCTCAGTCGGATTGTGCTTGTATTTTGATAAGTACCATCTGCTCTAAGTTTATCAATGAACTTATCTCGATCAAATTTGAGGGTGAGGTTTTTAAGATCACAATTCTAGAAGATGTGGCAGGTAATTTGTTGTTGGAAAATGGCGTTATTTTAGGCGAGACGGTGGTCTCAGATTCGAACAAGGAGGATAGTCCGACGAGTTTTCTTAATGACAATGAAGAAGGCTCGACATTCGATGGTGATGATGGAGACTTAGCAGAAAAGCCTGAACTTATATCTGATTTTTCCTTGGATAATGGACCTAGTATTCTCTTCGACAAAGGCATTGTTGGATTCGAGGGGGAAAATGAGTTGATTGTCCTTCTTGATAAAGATATGGAGATGGGAGGGGACGTGGATGGTCCTATTAAGGTTACAGAGGTTGGTAAAAAGATGAACACTCTAGAGGTCTTTGAGTCAATGCGTGTCAGATTGGGTGGAAAAGCTAGCAGAAACTTAGAAAAAGCCAAAATTCAAAAATTGAAATGTTTATAAGATATTCGCGAATTCTATGGGGACACTAATATTGTTAATAGCAAGGTGGGCTAGGCTGCTAGTAAAGATGTGAGAGTTGGGCCCATAGTTGGGCCCAGTGCGGATCTTAATACTGCTAGAGGTAAAATTGAGCAGGTGCACGAAGTGAAATCGAAATTCAAAAGTCATTTTGAAAGTAGGTTTGACGAAACAGATTATGTTTGTCCTAAGTTGGATCGTGTGTTGTTTAGACAACTTTCTTTAGAGGATAAAATGTTACTTGAAGAACCTTTTTAACTTGGAAGAGATTAAAGATGTGGTTTATAGTGGAAATAAAGACAAAAGTCTGGGACCTGACGGGTTTAATTTGGGATTCTTTAAAGTTTGTTGGTATTGCCTTAAAGATGGTCTATTCAGATTTGCTAATGAGTTTCAATAGTGTGGTAGGGTTCCTAAGGCAATAACGACTTGTTTTCTTGCTCTTGTGCCAAAAGGAGATAACCCTCAAGAGATTGATGATTTTAGACCAGTATGCCTTATTGGTAGCCTTTATAGGATTTTGTCTTAGATTTTGGCTAATAGACACAAAAAGGTTTTAAATAATCTGATATTGAAATCTCAAACGACGTTTTTGGCAGGAAGGAAAATGTTAGATGGTATCTTAGTGGTGAATGAGGTGCTAGATTTTGCAAGGCGAAGAAAGGAGGAATGTTTTATGAAGGTCAATTTTGCGAAGGCTTATGATTGCTTATCATTGGATTATTTGAGAAACATTTTAGGACGGATGAGATTTGGTTCAAGATGGTTAATTTGGATGAACGATTTGATCTTCAATAGCACTATGTCAATTCTTGTTAATGGTAGCCCAATGGAGGATTTTGTGGTGCGTAGAGGGATTCAACAAGGTGATCTACTCTCTCCCCTTCTTTTTCTGATTGCTACTGAAGGGTTAACGGGGCTGATGCGGAAGACTATAAATTTGGGGCAGTTTAATGGTGTTAAGGTGGGTGAGCCGGTACACTTCGAATTGATGCAATTTGCAGACGAAACGGTGGTGTTATGTGATGGAAAATGGGAAAATTTATGGAGTTTTAAAGCTATTCTTAGAGGTTTTCAACTGGAGTCCGGTCTAAGTCTGAATCTGAATAAAAGTTAGGTCTTTGGTATAAATATTTCTTCATATTTTTTGCAGGTTGCTGCCACATTCCTTTCGTGCAAAGTTGAAACCATTTCGTTTTTGTTTTTGGGCCTGCCGGTTGGAGCAAATCATCGTAGGAAGATTACTTGGAATTCCATTATTGCAAAGATGTGACGAAGGCTTTCGGGGTGGCATAGCAAGGCCCTATCTTTGGCCGAAAGAGTAACAATGTTGAATGCGGTTTTGACTAATATTCTAACGGCAGATCGACTCTTGAAGTTACAGCAACTTTTAGACAACGTGCAACTGAAGCGTTTGGGAGAAGATACGTTTATTTGAGATTTGGATTCCAAAGATTGTTAGCTACGAACAATGCGGAGGTGGCTATGACAGAAACTTTGATTCTTAAAGGGTTGTCGGATATTTAGAGATTGAAGGCACCGAGTAAAATTCAATTTTTTAGTTAGAGATGTTTGTTGGACAGGCTGCCTACAAAACATATTTTATTGAGAAGAGGTATTATTTTAAGTAATTCCATTTGTCCGTTTTGTTTTAACGCCGACGAAAATCTATTCCATCATCTCTATTATTGTGATGTGGTTAATTTGGTTTGAGAGGATCTTTGTGGATGGCTTAGAATTGAGTTATGTGGGGAGCAGACTTTTTTAGATTCTTTGTTTTTGCATTTTAAGAATTTATGCTCAAACAAGTCTAAAGTTTTGTTACATTTTTTAAGAAGGGAGATTGGAGGAGACAAATTTTTTTAGAATTTTTAAATTTATGTCCAGAGAGTGGTTGTTGGCCATGTTTTGGGGGCGAATTGTTATCGATCTGTTACTGTGGCAAAACAATCTGTCGTTTTATTTAGTCGAATAGTGGTCTTTATTATTGTTGTTTTGTTTCGTTCTTTTTTGATGATTTCTTATTTTGTATAGGCTAAACACCCATTTTATTCATTTTAATATATTCAATTTGCTTATAAAAAAAGTATATAGGTTAGTAAGGAGGGATTCACTAAAAAAAACTCTTTTGTTCAAAAATGAAGTTATTCTTTTTAATTTGTCAAGGTTTTGCTTATACTATAAGTTAATTTATTAAAAAATATTAGTGTAAAAATTTATATATATAATTTAATAGAATAAGTTTGTATTAATTTTTTAATTTTTATTTTTAATTTTATCACTTCTTTTAATATTATACATGCACTGAAATAATATACAACTTTGCCTATTTATAGGATTAGTCTTTTATTTTAATTTCAAACGATCATTGTTAACTTTTTTTTACTAAAATTGATGAAGTATTTATTTTTATCTATAAAATTTCACAAAAAATTTTATAATAATTTGTTATGTTTTAAAAATAACACAACATTTAAAAGTGGATGTATCAACAACTTTAAGTATAAAAAAATAAAAATAAATTATCAAAATTATTTAAATTTAAAATAAAAAATTAATTACATGAATGTAATAAAATAGAGATAAATATGACAATTATACTCATATTCAAGTAGATATTCTTACAAAATACACACAAAAGATTAAAAAAAAAACTTCAAAAAGGATACGAGCACAGGAACAAGTAATTATTCATAAAAATAAATGGATATGAGTGCAGATATAAATATCTTAGTACCAAATCCGCTCTATATCCTCACAATATACATTTATATATTTTCATTTATATTATTATATAACAATGTATATCTATCATTTTAAAAAGTATATTATTATAAAATTATTACGCATTTTAATATAAGTGTTTGATTGTTTCATAACTCAACAATAAAAAATATAAATTTTTTGTTCATGTTTAAAGAATAAAATAATATGATATTTTTTAATTTATCGATTTGTTTTTACTAAAATTGTGGATAATTGGTAAGGGTAGGGGTACTTGGGTACCTATGAGAACAAATACAAATATGTAAGTTGGTGCCCACACGGATATAAACTCAAGTACGAGAACTTTTTTCACACCGCAGATATGAGAATGATCATTATAGTACCCTACTTAAACTCTATCAATTATCATCCCTAATATAGATTATTAAAACTGAAAATATTTAATGTAAGTAACTCACTTTCAATTTTATTCTTAGAATAACCATATTTTCTGAAGTAACCGAGTTTCAAGCAAAACAAAAATTGAAACGAAAAGGTGTTGTTAGATGAATCGGCACCTCCTTTTAAAAAATAGGACATGCCGCTATATCAATTGATGACTGCTTGTTGTGTAGTCAATCCAATTGACAATTACATTCATTGCTTAAGAGTTAGCGTCAATTCATAAGTTCTAAGTGGTGACACTTCTTATATTTTAAATGGAGGCGCCAATTCAATTGGTGACACCTCTTATGAAATAAATGCAATAGCTAATTGGAATGCCTATATCACATGTAGTTGCCAATTAAATAAGTGACACATCTTACTTTTAAATGGATACGTCAATCCATCTGACAACACCTCTTTATTTTAATTTTTTTTTTAAAGTAGATTCTATTGAGAAATAGGTGAAAATGATAGTTATTATGAAAAAAAATTGAAAAAAAAGATTATTTGCATAAAATTTTCTAATGTTGTAGTTAAACATAATATAAAGTATTATATTTAATAAAAATATTATCTTATAAATTATAAACTATTTTAAAAATACTTTTCTCATAAAATTATATTTATTATTTATAAATTTTGAAAAACTAATATATAAAATCTTTTTGCCCCCGCCACAATTTTTTTTTTGAATTTGTCACTGGCTGCTCGTGCAAATTTGTTTGATACATTATGATATATATTTAGATGCACATGTAAATTTGAAATGAGTTACTTAATTGTAAAATGAACAATGATAATATAAATTCAGTTGTATTAAATAATCATACAAAACGAAGAAGAAAAAAAACACATGAGATGGAAAAAGAAAGAAAAAAAAAGTTTCAAATTTGGAAATAAAGATTTTGTCTCTCAAATATAAAAAATTGTTGATTAAAATAAAATATATATTGTCCTGAATTTTGATAAAGACCCAATAAATATTATTCAATTTGATCAATTATAAAATGTATTTAGATATACGTGTAAATTTGAAAAGAGTCATTTAATTATAAAATGAACCGTTAATATATATACTGAGTCATATTAAATATCTATACAAAACAAGAAAAAAATAACTTGTGAGGTGAAGAAATAAAAAAATTGACATTTAAAAATATAAAATTTTGTTTCTCAAATAAAGATAATTGTTGATTAAAAATAAAATAGACATTGAGATTATAACGACTCTTTAGTTGTTTGAACAACTTGATAAAACAATTTTTTAATAACTATAAATAATTTTTTAATAATTGTAAAATAAGTTTGTTTTTCTGTTAGACTAAATTTTGTGTTTTGAAAATTCCAAGATTATTATGTGTTCTTCTTTATTACATTTAAAAATGGTTCACATGCATATATAAATTTTAAGAGACAGACAAGATCTTGTTGAAACTTCTAAAGAATTAGCCAAGTGTTGATGGACAAAAAAGAAAAGAAAAACCAACTAGCATTAGTTATACTTGAAGTGCCACGTCGATTATTGATAAATAATGCTAGTGGTTATATAGAGCACTCATACTATGCAAAATACAATCTTGTGGGTCGGGAAAATGCCCATAATGCTTGGGCCTAAAGCTCAAATTAAATTTCTTTTAAAATTTGTAATAATTAATTTCTAAATAAAATAAAAAATAAAATTAAAACTTATTAATAAATTAGTTTATTATATAAAAAAATAAAAAAATAAAAAATATTTTAATCATCATTGTCACCTCATTAAAAATAAAACATTTATTCTAAGAGGCGGTAAAACAGATCTAACCCGTTGGACATGCTCGTTTTGTCTCGCATTTAGTGTGGGTGGACTAAGGGTTTAGTATCACACCCTTTAATGTGTTCATCCGTCACATTTTTTTTTGCGGGTTTTTGCGGACATAGACATTACCATAAAATTTTGTATTTTTAAATTTAAAATGTGTAATGTCTGCAGGCCCGCTCAACCCCGCCCCATTTTTGTGGTCTTTTGTGAGAGAATACTTAAATAGGGTGGCCATGTTGGATTGTCACTCCTCATCATTGTCGCGTCTATAAAAGTGAAGGGAGATAAAAAAAAAACGTAAGAGAAGTAAAAGTTGGGGACTAAAAAGTAAAAATAAAAATAAAAAAACCTAAATACAGTAGAAACTCTTTAAATTAATAATGTCAGGACCGGAGAAATTTATTAATTTAGAGAGCTATTAATTTATCGATAAATTAATAATTATTAATTTAAAGAGTTTTTAAGTGATTATAATGTACATACCAAACAAAATGGTAAATTAGTTTATGTCTCTTAGAATTACGTTGCAGCGACCCTTGGGACTCAACGTAAATTAGTAACTACTGTGTTCATATGCATTGGAAATCAATAATGACTTTTGAAATACAATAAATGTAAACAAGAGAAACAAATGTGTTCAATGTATTCTTAAGCAAGTTTGCCATATATAAGTTACATGAATGTGTTAGAGTATTCAAACCATATCTCACAAAATGGCTTCTCATCTAAAAGGTGTTGCAAAATCAACTATGTCAGATCAAATACGTAAGGAGTTGTGCGAGTACAAGAGAGATAGTCCTGCAAGCACACAAAAAGACTTGCAGAGATGGCTTGAGGGAAAATTTCAGTTGAAAGTTAGTCAAGGAACAATATCAAACACACTTAAACGGTCAAATGACTATCTCTCTGCTGAAATAGAAAAGGGAAGAGCAGAGATCAAAAGACACAAACCAACAAAATATCCTGACATGGAGAAGGTTGTTTATGAGTGGTTTCTCCAGCATCAAGAATGTGTGAATATCACATGAGAATTAATTTTGCAGAAGGCAAGAGATACAATGAAACTCGTGTACCCTCATGATGATTCAGATTTTAACTTCTCTATAGGATGGCTTGGGAAATTCAAGAACCAACATGGCATAAAGTCATTTCATCGTTTTGGCGAGAGTGGGTCTGTTGATGTACAAGACATGGAGCAGAAATTGGTATCGATTCGGGAGAAAATTGATCAGTTCCCTATGAAAGATGTTTTCAATATGGATGAAACTGGGTTGTTTTATAGGCTACAAGTTGATCATTCACTGGCAACAAAACAACTTGAAGGAAGAAAACAAGATAAAGAAAGGCTGACGGTAGTTATTTGTTGCAATGAAGATGGCTCTAAAAAAATCCCTCTATGGATTATTAGGAAATATGCAAAGCCTCGTTGCTTCAAGAATGTCAACATGAATAGCTTGGATTGTCAGTATCGAGCTAACAAAAAAGCATGGATGACTAGTGTGCTTTTTGATGAATATGTTTGTTCATTTGACCAAATGATGCATGGTAGAAGAGTTCTACTTGTGGTGGATAATTGTCCAGCACATCCAAGAAATATTGAAGGGCTAAGAAACATTGAGTTGTTCTTCTTGCCACCCAACATGACATCAAAGATTCAACCTTGCGATGTTGGGATAATAAGAGCTTTCAAGATGCATTATCGTAGAAGGTTTTACCGCAAAATATTGGAAGGTTATGAGGTGGGACAATCTGATATAGGGAAGATAAATGTCCTTGATGATATCGATTTGGAAATCCTAACTTGGACGGTAGATGTTTGAAAAGAAACAATAGTGAATTGCTTCTGACACTGTAAAATTCGTTCAGCTAGTGACGTTGCAAGAAATTTGGGTGAATCCACTTTTGATGAAGAAACTCAAGACCTCGAGACTATGATCAATCAATGTGGCTATCGTAATAAGATGGATATCGATAATCTAATGAACTACCCAGGTAAAAAAGAAGCATATTTTGAGGTTCAGAGTTTAGAAGATATTGTGGGTACTATCATTGAGAACAATGCAGAGGATGGCGGCGAAGATGATATGGTGTCTTTGGAGCTTGTTACGCGAAAGGAAGCACTTATGGCGTTGAACACTCTTCACAACTTTATGATACAATACAAAAATACAACACCTGAGCTATTGGATGCAATAAGAAAAGTTAGAGATGAGCTCCAAATAGACTTGAACTTTAAAGGAAAACAGACAACTATTGAATCATATTTCAATAGAGTGTAATATATTTTTTTTCAGTTTCTATGAATTATTAATTTATGATTTTCTTGGGACCGAAAATTATAAAGGGATCTCCCGAAAAATTATTATCTTATTATTTTATCGAGTTTTTCAATTTTTTACATTGGCCCAAATCGGGACCGGACAAATTTATTATTTTAGAGAGTTTATTAATTTACCGAGTATTAATTTAAAGAGTTTCTACTGTAGTTGGACATAATGATTAATTTTAAAATAAATATATAAATAATATATAATTAAATTATTAAAAAATTAATTTATTAGGTAAAAAATATTAACTAATAAATTATCATAGTCATCATTATCACCTAATTAAAAGTAAAGTTTTTATCCTAATCATCACTGTCACGTTTGTAAAAGTGGATGGGGGACAAAAAAAACTCAAGAGAAGTAAAAGTTGGGGAATATAAAGTTAAAAAAACTTAAATGGAGGGGATCAAAAGTGCATTTAAACCTAATAAATTTTAAGACATCTTTTCCACATCAGTCAATAAAATAATCGAGGTATAATTCGTGGGCGTGCCACGTTTTAAATTTTAATAACATCCGATAGGAAAATTTACTAAGGGGTTACACTTCAATTCTCAGCTCACGTTGTTTTTACTTTTGTTTATTTTTTAATTGGCTCCTTTCTAATTTTTTTATTTATAAATTAGTCAAAATAACTTATTCCCTCGGTTATAAAAACCAATCGATATGAAAAGTGGCTCAGGAACCAAGATTCAAATCTCACCTTTTTCATTTTTACATTTTTTAATTGACGCCTTTCTTTTTCTTACATTTATCTATTCCCTTGGTTAAAAGTTCCAACCGAGAGGAAATCTAAGCTTTGTATTTTGTACTAGTTAAAAAGTACAATTGTGCATGTTACTCTTGCAAGGGTATGAGCACTCAAAGACCTTGGTAGGTGTATAACAAATAGTGGTAGTTAAGGCTTGCCTATGGGGGCAAGAAGTCTTGTACTATAGTGTTTATGGTGGTTTAAAGGACCTACTTGAATGTGAGAAAAATATGCAAATAGAGGGTTGTATTGTGTTTTCTGTTTTTGCTTTGCCTATGGGGGCAAAAAGTAATTTTGATCCCACCTGTTTTTATTGTGGTATCAAAGGCCATACACCTAATGCCTGTTATGTAAGAAACTTCAGTGTTGCAAAAGGGCATTATGTGTGGGTCAAGAAAGGCACTAACTATGAAGGACCCAAGGCAATTTGGGTACCTAATGAAACTTAACTTTGTTTTGTAGGAATGCTTGAAGACTTCTTCATATCAGTGGTATCTTGATAGTGGGTGTTCAAGGCATATGACGGGTGACCTTACCAAATTTTCACATCTAACGCTTAAGGCCAAAGGATTCGTAACATATGGTGATAACAAGAAAGGAAAGATCCTTGGCGTAGGCAGCATTGGTGCACCACCTTTTACAACCATAGAAGATGTCTTCTATGTAGAAGGCCTAAAGCATAACCTACTTAGCATTAGCCAACTTTGTCATAGAGGTTTCAGAATCAACTTCACTAAAGATGAATGTTTGATAGAAAACGAAGTCACTCATGAGGTAATGTTAAAAGGTAATAGAATTAACAATATTTTTATGATTTCCCTTGATAACATGTCTTTGAAGGTTAAGTGTCATATGGCGAACAACAACGACTCTTGGTTATGGCACAAAAGATTTGCTCACATTCATATGAAGAATTTGAACAAATTGATCAAACATGACTTAGTTGTTGGTCTTCCAAAGATAAAATTCATCAAAGATAGATTGTGTGGCGCATGCCAAAAAGGGAAACAAACCAAATCAACTTTCATATCCAAGAATGTAATGTCCACAACAAGGCCACTATAATTGTTACACATGGATCTCTTTGGACCATCAAGAACAAAAAGTTTTTGAGGTAATGTTTATAAATTAGTAATTGTTGATGACTTCTCTAGATATACATGGACTTTCTTCTTAGTGCAGAAAAGTGAAGCTTTCAAGGCATTCAAGAAGTATGTAAAAACAAATTCAGAATGAGAAGTCACTTTCAATTGTCTCCATTAAAAGTGACCATGGTGGAGAATTCCAGAATGCTTTATTTGAAGAATTTTGCGAAGAAAAAGGAATCTCACTTAATGGCGGTCAAGCGGATCATGAATATCTCAAAGGAACAACAAATGTCGGCTTATTGTATCCTAAAGGTAGTATTTGCAATTTAATTGGATACTCTAACGCGGATTATGCAGGTTGTAAAAATGATAGAAAGAGCACAAGTGAAACATGTCATATCTTGGGAAATGCACTAGTCTTGTGGGCATACAAAAACAAGCATGTGTAGCACTTAGTACGGCTGAAGCAAAATACATAGCAGTGGATAGTTGTTGTGCACAGATACTTTGGCTTAAGCAGCAATTTCGTGACTATGGACTCGACCTTGGTAGCATTCCTCTTTGTTGTGACAACACAAGTGCAATCAACATAACAAAGAATCTAGTCATGCATTCAAGAACCAAGCACATCGACATACAACGTCATTTCTTGCGAGATCATGTACTTCAAGGAGATGTCGAGATAACATTTGTGGATATTCATAATCAGTTTTCCGATATATTCACAAAGCCTTTGGCAAAGGAATATTTCTTTAAAATTCGAAGAGAACTTTGAATTCTAGATGAAACTGACGTGGAATCATAAAAGATCTTCATATGTGGTGTTTTTCTCAATTTTCACTGCCTGCAATTGATTGCACCCTTGTGTCAATCGAGTGTTCACTGTAAGTTTCCTAAAATTTTTGAATTTTTTGAAGCTTGCAATCGATTGCACCCTAGTGTCAATCGATTGCACCCTATAGCTTTTGTTTTATTTCGTTTCTGTTTTTGTAGAGCAATCGATTGCACCATTGTGCCAATCGATTGCACCTACTGTAAATCTGTTTTTTCTATATTTATTTAATAGACCCATGGGCTTTTAACCTTTCCAACTACCCTATCATTATAACTTTTGGCCTACCTATGACTCTCTCTTACTACCTAGCCTTATTCTCAAGACGATCCTTCCAACCCGACTGTCCCTCCAACTCGTCCATCACCTCTCCAGCAAACATTTCCAAACCAACAACCCTTTGACGCAAACATGGATTTGTCATAAATTGTTAAACATGTTTCTTTATGTTTTCTTAAAGTTATTTATGTTGTTCAAATTCTATACTTTCTATTTTCTATGAACTCTTTAAATTTGTAATTTTAATTTATGACTAGTTGGTATGTTATTTTCAAATTGTTATCTATGTCTCTTGTGTGTATATATATATATATATATATATATATATATATATATATATATATATATATATATATATATATATATATATATATATATATATATATATATATATATATATATATATATATATATATATATATATATATATATATATATATATATATATATATATATATATATATATATATATATATATATATATATATGTTTTTTATCAATCTTTCCCTTCTTTTTGATAATGTCAAAAGGGGGAGAAGGATGTTACCCTTTTCTTACTTGTTATCTTTCCTTGATACTTAAGGTACAAATACAAGGCTACTTCGAACCTCAATACAAATTCATAACTTCTCAACACTTCATATATTGAGGGGGAGAAAAACTTGCCGGAAAGAACATCGCAACAAAAGGAGAATGCTTTGTCATAATCAAAAAGGGGGAGAATGTGAAATCAAGATTCTCAGAGATCAAC